AACCAACCAACCAACCAACCAACCAATAACAAATGCTGGAGGGGCTGTCAAGAAAAAGGAACCCTTCTCCAGTGTTGGTGGGAATGGAGACTGGTACAATCACTATGGAAATCAGTGTGGAGATTCCCAAAAAAGCTAAAATTGGAGGTTCCTGTTGACCCAGTTATTCCCTTCTAGTGTTTTTGCAGAAGAGTTAAAAGCACCTTAGCACAGTGATACACCTGCACCTAAATTTATGGTAGCACAATTTGTAATAGCTAAATCTTGGAAACAACCCAAGTACTCATCAACTGAGGGTAGAATGGATAAAAAGGATGTTGTGTTTTTATATAATGGAGTACTGCTCAGCCATAAGGAAGGATAAACTGAAGACTTTTATAGGTAAGTGGATACAACTCAAAACTGTAAGTGAAACAAACCAGATGCACAAGGGTAAACATTGTATAGTCTCCCTAGTATGAGAAGCTGAAAGAGTAAATAAAATCCCAAATTTACAATACATATCGTACAATGGGAAGAAACTTCAAAAGGAAACAGAAACTAGGATGGGGGAAATACAGAAAAGAAGGGAAAAGCAATAAAAAAAAAAAAAAAAAGTAAAATAACAAATTTTCTTAGTTCAATTAAAAAGGTTTGTGCTAATATTGTTAGGACAAGTAAATGCTGATATCTTGTACTCTGAGAAACTAACTTAGAGATAACAAACAATATGCAACGTATTAACCACTGTTACCTTGCTATTATCTTGTTTTGAAATTAAAAAAATTTTTCTTTAAAATAAAAAGAAAACAGTTATCTATTTCAGTCAAGGTTCATAATAATTCTTTTAAAGTGAATATGAATCTTTGTTTTCTCATGTTATTTTGATACATTCTCTTTGGGACTAAGTTTATAAAAAGATCTTCAGAACATGGTACGGCATTTTTAGAAACAATGATGTCAGAATATAAACTATAAGTAAAATCAAGGCTTGTTTCATTTTTGTATCACTGAGTTTGTAACTTCTCTCTCGTTTTTTTGGGTTGAACCTGGGATTGAACTCAGGCCCTTTCGCTTGTCAGGGAAGTGCTTATTCTACTGAGCCATGTCCCTAGCCCCTGTAACTTCTCTTAATAAAGCTAAACATATCAACAATTCAGAGTAATTCAAATTTATAATGGGAATCCATAACCCAACTAAAAAAAAATCCACTGCTACAAAACAAAAATTATGTAAGTATTTTTATTTATAAAATAACAAAAATTTGTGAATAGGTCAGTTTATTGTTATTATGAAAATGGTCTTGTATATGTGAGAAACATTATATACTTTGAGGACAAGCAGTCAGAACTATTAAGACAAAAAAAACAAACTATAATTTTAACTCAATCTTGATTTAAAGGAAAGACTATAAATTATTGGCTGGAATGCATTTACCATGAACTCAGATTCTACATAAACATGAAGCATTAAAGAGTACAAAAGATGTTGGAGCTCAATAAGCCCATACCTAAGTTTTAACTGTAAAGCTTCAAGGACATTTTATTCTTATATACTAGTTTTCTTCTGAGACAAGTTGATTTTATCTCCAAGACTTAAGGCCATTCCCTGTAAAAAAGAATGAAGATGTTTATAATTATTGAACTTATGTACAACCAATATATTACTCTTGCTAAACTAAGCCTCCATTCAATGACAATGCATTAGCAATACAACCTAAGATGTACAAAACAGACTCACCAAAACTTTACTGGGCTGAATA